AGAGCAACATGATCGATGATGTAGAGTGTGCCTAAGGAGAGTCACATGGAGAGAAAACATTCTCTCAGGCTTTCACAGAGAGTAAATTGGTCAAGCAATGGCTGTGACTCATCCACATGGCTGACACTGACAAAGGATCTACAAACTGTGGTTCAGGGTTACAGGATAAATGCTGACGGTATTTGACTGACTTTATCAGATACAAAAGTTACATTTCTTTTATATAGGTCTTGCTTTATCTTAGTCTTAACCATCCAGCAGAAAAGTATAAAAATGAGGTATATAAAGTAAAGCCATATTAATATGCTGAGCTGTGAAAGGCTCAAGTCAACAACTTCTGCGGATAACCCACTACTATTGTGGACTGCTGCACTGTGTTGGATTGTTTTGCTGAATTTATGCACCTATAGTATTTAGATGCCAATGGAATACCCATCTCTGACAGGAATAAACAAAAAAAGGTGATATAAAGGAAGGACCATTTTGTGTCTGTACATGCAGAATAGTTAGGATAGATATACAGCTACTTTTGCTTGATTCAATGAGAAGAAAGATTTGTACTAACAGTGTTTGGACAGCATATCCTGTCTGCATCTTATACTATGGATAACCACTAAGAAGATAACAAGGTACAATGTATTAATTATTGAAACTGTCATATTAGTCAGTTTTAAAACTGTCTCATTGCTATTTGTTTCTCAATAAAATAAAATAAAATAAAATAAACAAGCTGCAGTAGGTACCTATGCCAAGTTCTCAAGACAATTCTGAACTTCATCAAACTGCCAAAATATACTAATAAATTTTTTAAAAATTAAAAAAAAAAAGGAGAGGAGATGCTCAGACTCTGGGTAACTAATTTGGCCAGAGAAATCCAGGTGTTTGGTCCATCACCCAACATAAAGTGATGCATGTAGAACCTGGCACTTGGCCTGACTAGAGGAACACAGGCTAAATACACTCTAACAAGGGGGAATATTTTGCATACAAACTACCAATTTACATTGTTTGGTTATATAACTATAGACTTTGCTCCTATGGTCTAAAGTACAAAAACAATAGTTACCAAAGTTGGTCAATTTCTAAATTTTTCTTGATGTTATTATTATTGTTAATCATACCACCGTACCTAGGATATTATATCTGTTTTAAGCACTTGTTCCTTGGGTAATGATATTGGGAAGGGCTGGGGTAACAACCTCACCAAAGCCCTACACCTAAATATAGAAAACAATGACAAATGGAAACTAATATGCCACTCTCAATTAATTGGGAAGGTGGGATCTTTGGACAAACATAAACCAAGATCTCCAAAACAGAATATGTCTCTGAAGAACAGAGTCTTCCTAGAGTGACGTTGATAGTAGCAATACAGCTATCTACTATCAAAATATCAAGGATTATCACAGAAATAAAAATAAAGAGTTCTTTCTGAAAAAGAAAATGACAAAAAGGAGCAATATGTAATATCAGACCCCCAGTCTACCCAGAAGAAGGCCATGAGTCACCATCATAGGAGAAATTGGAAATCACACACCTGAAACTCTGAAATGATTGTAACTGAAGTAAAGAAACAACTCCAGATGGGTATAGAAAAAATTAGATAAAAAATTATCTCTGAATTAAAAAAAAAAGAAATGATAACCATAATGAAAGAATTGCTAAGCATCTATAAAGGAGATATCGATAAAAAATAAATAGAGGAGTATAGACAAATGATGAAAACCTTGAATGAACAATATAGGGGGAAAAATGGAATGAATGAAACAGATTCAAAGAGGTATCCAGGAAATTAACTCCATTAAAAGCTGGCAAAACCACTCCTTCTGTTTCTTTGACACCTATCAATCTTACATTATTCATCTTTGTGTACTCTTGTAGCTACTGAATTATTATTTCCTGGTTCCTTGTTGTTTTTAAGAGATCTTTCCTTTTCTGGTTTCTAGTTGCCATGATGTCTTCAAGGTCTGAAAGTCTGTCTTCAGTTTCATTCAAATGGTTTTGCCAGCTGCCACTAAACAGGGAAAGCAATAAAACAGAGGGGAAAAGTAGGGAGCCAACTTTTACATATCAGTTATAACCACCAATGCAAATGGCCTCAATTCACTAATTGAAAGAAATAGACTGGCAGAATGAATCAAGAAGCAAAATCCAACAATATTGTCCATACAAGAAACACATTTAACTGAAAAGGAAATTCATAAGCTGATAGCTAAAGGATGGAAAAGAGTACTCCATGCACCAGGAACTCAGAAAAAAAAAGCAGGGATAACTATTCTGTTTGCAGATAATGAAAAAGTCCAATACTCATTCATGATAAAAGCCCTATAGAAAATAGTAATAGATGGGCTTTACCTCAATCTGATAAAATCCATCTATAACAAACCAACACCCAACATCATTCTAAATGGAGAAAGACCAAAAGCCTTTACTCTAAAGTTAGGTACAGAGAAGAATGTCCACTATTACCATTCCTATTCAATATGGTTCTGGAAACATTGATCAGAGCAATTACACATTAGAAATAGAAGAAATAATGATTGGGAAGGTAAAGTGAAATTATTATTTGCAGATGACATGATGCTCTACACGGAAGCACAGAAAACTCTGCCAAGAGACTCCCAGAATTAATAAACAAATTCAGTAGTCTATCAGGATACAAAGTCAACACCCACAAATCAATAACATTCCTCTATACAAACAACAAACTTACTGAGAGAGAAATTAGAGAAACAACACCCTTCACAATAGCATCCCAAAAATGTAATACTTAGGAATTAATCTAACAAAGGAAGTGAAAGATCTCTACAATGAACATTATAATGCTCTTGAAAAAGAGATCGAAGAGGATTTCAGAAAATGGAAATATATTCCTTGCTCATGAATAGGAAGAATCAACATTGTGAAAATGGATATACTCCCAAAACTGTTATACAGATGTAATGCAATTCCAATCAAAATACTATCAGCAAACGTCACATATCTAGAGAAAAAACATTACTGAAATTCATTTGGAACCAGAAAAGACCTAGAATAGCAAAGGCAATCCTGGTCCACAAAGCCAAGGCAGGAGGTATCACAATCCCTTACTTGAAACCATGCTACAAAATTACTGTGATAAAATCAGCATGGTACTGCCAAAAAACAAAACAAAACAAAACAGATCTGAGGATCAGTGGAACAGCTTAGAAGATGCAGACACAACTACAACACACTCAGCCACTTTCTTTGACAAAGGGACAAAACACATTCGCTGAAAGAAACCATTTAATAAATAGCGATAGGAAAACTGGCTTTCCACATGCTAAAAGCTAAAATGCGATCCAGGTCTATCACCTTGCACTAAACTAAAGTCAAGATGGATTAAAGATCTAAACATTAAAATAGAAACACTAAATCTCTTAGAAGAGAAAGTTATATATAT